TTGGTGTTTTTTTTTCGGGGTTTGGGTGGGCATTGCCATGGTGCACATACACATTATTTAACCCAGCCCGCGAAGGCTAACCGCAGTCTGCGCAGTGTGCCATTGATCACTCCCGCCAAAGTCGTGCCACCTAAGTCCGCTCCTGCCAGTCCCTCCGCAGTGGTGCAGAAGCTGCGCTGTCGTTAAGGCCCGACCGTCATCAGTTCGCCTGCTCTGTGCACGTCGTCGTCATCAGAGAACTCTTCGCCATTGCCACGGCCCATCGTTTTCCAGAAGCGGCACAACCGTCTACGCTCTTGTCCACCACGCCTTTGATCGCCAGTTGTCATTGTTGAGTCGCGCTCGTCTTTCGCGTCAACCAGCCAGCGCTTGGATCCGCCACGTGGATGTCGACCGTGCAGTTGAATAACTTATATCCATCGTTGTGCCCTTGTGCGGCATTTGGCGGAGGGCGGCGCATCTTCCCGCTTCAGCTTTCGCAGTGGCAGAATGGCTCCGAGGCGAGGAAGCGGCGGTCAAGCTCGTGGAAAAAAACGTGATGAGATCACTGAAGAGACGGCGGGCGTTTCAGGTGGAGGACGTCACATGACGAAGACGAAACGGTCACGTCAGGACGCGGGTTCTGTCAGCGGCTGGCACTTGGACGGCGACGATTGGGGAAGACCAAACGACGGTGAAGGCCACAACGAACCGGGATACCTCGCTATGGAGGAGGTGGCGCGAATGGAGCAAGACCAGATCACACCTGTTACGACGCCGCGAGGGAGAAATCGCGAAGATGCAGGAACCGGGACATCTGTGGCGACGACACATGTGCAACAAGCAGTCGGCGAACGAGGATCTGGTGGTGCGGCGACGCCACGTGTACAACGAGCACTCGGCGAGCGAGGATCTAGCAGTGCGGGAGACGCGGCCATGCTTGGAGATCAGGCGCAGGTTCGCGGCGCCGCTGCGGTCGTGGGCGAAGCAGCGGGCACACCTTGTGAAACGGGGGGAGGGGGGCGGAAGGCCGAGGAGGCGGCGAGGACATTGGAGATCCCCCGCGCGAAGAAGAGAAAGGCGATGGAGGACAATAAGCCGCTTGTTAACACGGTCCGCAAAGGTGAAGTGGTGAAAGAACTGGCTGATCGGGCGAAACTATGGGTGGACGACAAGTCGTTCTGGAGGTCGGGGGAGGGCTGTAGGCTGTACAACATTGTGAACAACGCACGGAAGTACCTCGTCGCCATCGCCAGAGGAGTTCCTTTGCCGAAGGTCCCCAAAAGTGTAGCCTTGCCGAGGTCGAAAGTCACGATGACGAGGCTCATTGATTCCGCGCAGTTGCAGGGGGCGATGAATCGCGCGTCGAAGTGCCAGAATGTGGTGATGCGTGTTCTGCACGGATGGGTCTTCAAGTCCGGAAGCAGGGAGAGGGGGTACACTCTCGCCTTCCAGTACCTCCTCGAATCGGTGGCTACGGACTTCGTGCGTGCGATGTGGCTCGGAGAGGACAGGAGCAATGTCATCAGCCCCGCCATTTACGCGCACACTCTGGAACTCAGGATGGACCTGCCTCTGTGGTACTCAGGTGCTTATATTGAAGACAGGCCCCGGGAGGACGACATGGCTCCTTACCAGGAAGCGGCTGTCATGTGACTGATTGCTGTGTTCAGCACGGCGGTAGAAATAGGGAACGTGGTGGATAAAGGATGCATAAGTAAGGACCATTTGTCCCGTGTTGCGGAGAGCTTGAAGGTCCTCTTGGCGACTACCATGTGGATAATGCGATTGGCGGGAGACGATCCGAGGTCTCACTACGAAGCTTTCTGCCTCTGCAACCTCGTCGCGAAGCCCGTTATGGTGGCGTCCATGCAGCGCAGCTTCGATCATCGTCGCCACACCTTGGCCGCCGCAAACGCTGCAACCGAGCGACTGGGGAAAGCGCAGTTGACGTTGGGTCACGCGCCGAATTTCATTCCGGATTGGGCTAAGTGCGGGGTGAGATTCGGCCATGACGCGAGTTTGAGTGGCCCCGACGAGGCGAGAGGACTTGATTGGTTGGGCACAAACCCTCCGGCGTGCGAGGACGACGACAACGACGATGACGATGCCGAAGACAACTGAACGCAACCCGGGAGGAGGAGAACGACGACGACGACGATGGTGTGCGTCGGCGTGGGGTGGGGCTTTCGTACCAGCCTGGACACTGACGCCTCATCGAGCGGCGATAACAACGAAGGTGCTGCAATCACGACGGGGACGATAGCGACGCGTGCTGATGCCGCTATGGGGACGTCGGTTCGGGCGAGTACGGTACGACGGCGGCGCGCGGCAGAGGAAGACCTTGAAGAGAAGAACAGAGCACGTCAAATACATGTGCAGGCAGTCTGCGGAAGAGGATGCCTACGCGTGATGATGCCCCATTCGACGACGCTCCCCACACAACGATGGCCCGACCGTTGTGGAAGAGGATGCTGACGGTGATGATGATGACGACGTCGATGATGACGATGATGACGACGATGATGATGATCATCATAATGATGATGATGATGATGATGATGATGATGATGGCGACGATGATGATGATGATGACGACCACGATGATGATGATCGTGATGATGACAATGATGACGATTGTGATGATGATGATGATGATGATGATGATGATGATGACGATGACGATGACGATAATGATGACCACGACAATGATGATGACGACGACGATGATGATAATGACGAAGACGAAGATGATAACCGGTCGGAGGTGGCGCGGGCAAGGTACTTTTTTCTGTGTGTTTTCGGTCAAGTAGGGCGCTGCTCGACATTGTAAATATAGTGGACTCGGAAGTACGATCAGTTCAACAGGGGTCTTTTCGTGTTGTTGCAGATATCTGCTTCTGCTTTCGTTTTTTTTTTTTTTTTTTTTTAAGGCGACATCTGTTCGCGCAATGGCGGATGACGTGCTTTGGTTTAGCAGGGGTCTTTGCGAGAGTCATGTATTCCGCAATTTGCAGTGCACGTTCGATCTTTCGACGTTATCTTCGTGGTCATTCGAAAAAAATACCATTCACAAGCCACATTATTCAAATTTTTGTTCTTTGTTTGTACAATGCGTTTTTAACGTGTTGTCCTTGTCTCACAAAGGGTTGTGCTTTGTTTGCCATCATTGTTGTTATACGGCTTTTGCATGTCTTTTATTCTATCCCGTTTTCGTTGGTTTCCAAATGCATTTGTCAATGGAAAACCCAAATCGTTGTCTGCTTTTTTTTTTTTTTTTTTTCACGTTGTTCGAACATACCATGATTACGTTCGCTTTAGAAAAACTATGACATTGAAGAACAACAGTTTGGACATGCAATCTGTTTGCTTAAGAATTATGACGTTGAAGATGAACAACATGGACATGCAATCTGTTTGCCTACATTGTTAGCAATTCCACAAATTTGAGAAGAGCACCGAATGTGTGTCAGTCATCGAAAGACCTCAAACAATTGAAGATTGGCAGAATAGAGGTTCGCAGAACGGCAAAAAAAACAAATCGACATCGTAAAAAAAGGTTGTCCATATATTAAAACGTCGAACAACTGCACGAAGCACACCAAAAAGACGACGCAACGCTACACACCCGAGTGGTCTCCCCACCGTGGAAACTTCCAAAACGACTGACACCTACAATGCCGACTACCAAGCGGCGTCACAGGCTACAACGCGACTTCGCGCGCGACATCAACTCAGTGGCGGCCAACAAACCGCCACACGGGAGGGGAGAGGAACGCAAGTGGGGCGACCACGCTAAACATCCCAGAGCTTCAGAAACACTACAAAAACGCAGCACTGCTCTACACGGACCACGTCACAAGCTAAGTTGCCAGCAGATCACACTACGACATCCTCACCGCCTGCACCCCCCTCCCCCCCCCCCCTTTCCTACCAACCCCCTTCGTCTAATCCGACCATCCCCTTGTTCTTCTGCGTGCATCTACATCAAAGCCAAGCGGTTTCGAAGCGCATCCCGCAACAAGTCGCTGTCCACGTTGGTGCACTGCCGTCGCCCACCACCGCTGTTCCCCACAATGCCCAAGTCGACTCTGCGCCGAACGCCGTTCTCATCAACCTCCCACAAGAGGTTCTCGTCGAAATCGACACCCGCGTCCAGGAGGATGTTGTGGAGAGTGCAGGCGGCCACAAATTGTTGTGGCAAGGTCTGAAGGTTTGTCTTGTGGGTGCGCAAAAAGAGACGCCACATGCACTTCAGTCGCCCAAACGCCCTCTCCACACCCCCCCGCGCCAACTTCTGCCGCGTGTCAAAACGCTCTTCGTCCGGACCCTGGAAGATTCCTCCGTACGGCTGGATGATCCATGGACACGCAACCGGGTAGCCGTTGTCGCCCAGCAGGTAACATCGCTTAACCACACTGTGTGGGAGATTCTATGGAGGTGCATCGAAAAGGTCGCCGCTTTCCACACGCCTCCACAGATGGGAATTGTGCAGTACACGAACGTCGTGGACACTTCCTGGATACGCAAATCCAAATCGACGATGACCTGCGCTTGGACGGAGAACTTCTATTTGCGGTCGTAGTAGTTGACGGACGGTGCTCCTGATGGCTTGTCAATGTAGATATGGGTGCAATCGATGGCGCCGAAGCAGTTCGGGAAACCCTTATCTCGGAACGCACGTAGAATATGCGCACGTCTACGCCCAACAGACCACTTGATCGCGTCGGGGTAGGCGTTTAGCAGCGCCGCAGTGACGTCGTGGACGGCCTGCAGGCCGGTCGCCCTGCCGATACCGAAGGCTGGCGTCTCGTTCTCGTACGTTTCCCCCGACGCCCATCTGTACAACGCGAAAGCGATCACCTACTCGACTGGCAGCGGCATCCTGTAGTGCGTGACAATCTTCTCCACGTGCGTGGCACAGGCGGCTACAATCTGGTTGAACATCGCCCTCGACATACGCAGCTTCTCCTTGTAGTAGTCCTCTGTGGCGTCATCACACAGCCGTAGGTCCTCCCATGTCCAGCCAGTGCACCGTTTGATCCACCAACGTGGTGTCTGGCGCGGGATAACGCCAGAGTCGAGAGTGGAACACATCTGCACTACAGCTTCGTACTTCGCCACGCAATCCGGCGCTTCCACAACGCTCTGCAAGAGTGCTCTCCGTTTACGAAGCTGCAAAGGCATGTCGAGGCTGGAGGACGACATTTCAGTCATGCTATTCAAGACGACAGCAGTCACGGCCATCGCCACGGCTTCTCTCTCCTCTTCACGCAGACCGTCGCCGCACCCGCAAACGTCCATCTCCGTTGAACGCCCACCTCATCGACAGCCTACCAAACACTTTGCTCGCTGCACCGGCCGAAGGCGCCACGTGCCCAACTAAGCCACAGTGCGCCACGCGTCAGGGACCAAAAGATGCGGCCGCTGCTCCGCGATGAGGAACGACACCACGCACGCGTCTCCCGAGCACGTCGCTGCTGCTGGCCGCCGCCACAGGAGAATAGGCACGCCCGAGCCGACCGAACTGGACACTGCTCTCCACGTTAGCAGTTGACGACTACGTCCGCCGTACATGAAGCTGCGCCCGCTGGTGCACGTCGACGGATGAAACCGCGCACGCCAATGGTCGACGATGGTGGAAGACAACACGGACGCCCGACGTCAGTATGCGCACGCTCGCGGACAATGGAGGAAGATAGCCCAGCGGAGGAGGAGGACAAGCTGCGCCGCCGCCCGACATGCGCCCGCTTGCTCACCACTCGCGCAGCCGCCACTTATGAATACTCTCGGCGAAAGGTTCGCCAACGCCGTCTTTCGGACATCTTGCGTCGCCTGCCAGTCCTGCGCCAGCCAGAACCGACACCCCCCCCCCAGCCCGCCCCTCCGTGAAAATTTGAATTCGAATCTTCGAACTGTACGAAACGCGCGCTTCCCGCCGAAGACACCCGCACGCCGACGGCCTACCGCGCTGTGTACCACGGACACCACCCTACGAGCGGACGGACATCGACGACGCGGCCTCGTATACGCATATAAAACGGGCGGCGGGACAACTTTTAGGACGAGTCCTAAAAGACAATTTTTAGGATCGTGTGCAACCACTCCGCACGAAATCCTAAAAAACCTTTAGGACTGGTCGTAAAAAATTTGGGATTCTTTTAGGAGTGTCTAACGAGACCCTAAATCTGCCTTGGTAAAAAAAGGCTTGGGAGTACTGGTGGTCCAGTAGTAAGGGCAACCACAAGCTTAGGCGTCCTGCACCATCAGTATGAAGAGGCCTCTTCTTTCAGTTTCCTTCTTTTTTTTGTTTCATATATAGTCCAGGGCGTTGCAGAGGCCAGTTACTAAGCCCATGGCTATTGTGCCGAAGCATTTTTTATAAACTCTGTTGTTTCGCCGTTTTCGGCTACATGGTCGATATAGTGTGTACTTGTCAATTGTATCTGAGACTCGTCTTTCACTTGTCTTTCTTTGGAAATGATTTTTCTACGGGATGCTCACCCCACTTGCCAGCCGGTGGCAATCCCCACCTATAGATGGAGCCTCAGCTATAAGGTAGCGAGAACTGAAACCTGAAAATTCCCCTTGCACTGGCATGCCGGCTCTCAATCTAAGCTATTTTGAAGAAGGGACCTTGCCCTCCAGCAGGAGCATTTAATGCTCTTTATTTAATGTTCATGGGAGACAGTATGATGAGCAACCAACTTACTCATCATGCATCAGCCCATCCGCTACTGCAATCTATTGGTCCTTGGGGTCAATCCATGTATTCTCCCTTCCAATTTATTTGTTGATATTAGTCCAGCCTGTGATTTGCGTCTACTACCTCACACCTCGCCATGTGTCTCTAAAACAGAAATTATTTTTTCTCCCCTTGAAACTCTGTTGTACTGGTGGGCAGCTGCACCTGGCAAAAAAAAAAAAAAAAAAAAAAAAGGCTGCATCTGGCACCTGCTGAAAGTTGAAACAGGATCAATCTTCCCATAGCATCCTCCAGTATGGAGATGATCTTTTTTTTTTTTTTTTAATAATAATCAAACCAGATCACTCACAATGAATGCCTAATGATGAGATGGTAGTGCTCAGAAGGGGAGAGGTCCCACTAACCTGGAACTGTCTTTTTTTTTGTGGGGGGGGGGGGGGGGGGGGGGGGGGGACGTAGCATTGAACCGATGCCAGGGTAACCTGGGGCCTGGTCCCACCAGATGCCGTTGAATTGAGAAAAATCAACGGTGTGACATTTTGTTAGGGCAGTGAAAAACTTGTAATGAGTGAATGGAAAAATGAAACAAATGCTGCTGAAAGGCTTTTGCCCTATTTTCTAAGATGTGATTCGGATCATTTGGGCAAATGAAATACGTCTGGTACAGCTGGAGTGAAACTAGCCATGGAAAGGGGAGAGGCAGTCGCCTTGAAGACTGGGCATCCACACCCACCTTGAAGTTCTCCTTTTGTGAAATATGGGTGGTGGGCTCATTCATTGCCTACCGTCTTCACCCGAATAGAACGCCCCGCCATTATCGCTGTAGAACGCCCGGTCATTATAGCTGTATTTGCCACAACTTTCGGTCCAGTTGCAGCGATAATGACCGGGCGTTCTATTCGGGTGAAGACGGTAGGGCAGGGAAACCAGTCTGTCAGAGTGTGTCCTCCCATTCCGGAGGTAGTGATGGCTCAAACACAAAAGAAAGAGAGGCATGGCCGTTGGGAGAGATCTACCCTACGACCCTAAACCCATGGGGAGGGAAGATTTCTCAATGTGGCATTTGTCGAAAAAAGAACGAACGATTCCGAAAGAAGAAGAAAGTGCCTAGTAGGGTATACAGGGGAAAACTTGAAGAACCCTCCAAATATCGTCCGCCCCTGGATCACAAGGGCAGGGACGACAGGAGAGTGTCACCGGCTGCCACATGTATTAGAAACACGACCTTTGAGAAAACTCAATGGCTGCTTGTGGGACCAGGCCCCTGGAATCGCAGTTTATGGAGATCAATCTCTTTGTTATCTACAGTTGGAAATTGAGAATCCCGGTACTAAGTGGGACCTCCCCAAAGAAGACATTGTGGTAAAGGATGCTGGACTCGTTTTCCGGCAAATATAGCTCCCCACCAGTAGATTGGAGTCTGACTCATCGTGATAGTCAGGGGCCTCCCTTGGAGAGTGCTTTTTTTTTTTTTTTTTTTTTTTTTTTTTTTTGCGCCCAGGGGTTGTAGAGGCCAAGGACCAGACCCGCGGTGATTGCTAGTAGCGGCAGCCAATGGTTGTCCTGACAGGATACGCCACCTAACCTACCCCTCCCCACGTTTATACTTCCAGCGCACCCCCTGTCCTTACTATCCTACCTCAGTGTGACCAACACTCAGGACCATCACCCTACCAGTATCGAGGGCAACTTGGACCAGACAGCAATGACAAGCACCAAGGCTGGGCCAACCTCCCAGCCCTGATGGAAGCGGACGCGGACGAACCTACGGGAACAGGATGCCAGGCTCATGCAATCTTCTACAGGCCCAATTCAGAGAGTCTACCCAGCAGGATTACCTAAGCAAGGCAGGCCAGCGCCCGCAGACACATCCTACCGTCTTTCCCCTACCTTACCCAAGGCTAGGTGGAGCTCAGACTAGCCGGAGCGGCTTATATCCCTACCCCTACTGTAGAGCTAAGCCATGCGTGAGTAGACCCGATCATATATCAAGACCCGACATACAACGCCATGGACAACCCTTGGGTGGTGCACCGGCAGTGTCTGTATAAGCTTACCTTGCGTCTGTCATGCTCAACCTCACGCCCTGTGCTGTTTTCCGGCCGGAGCGTTTTGGTTCGCGGAAAGGCCCGCAAAGAACAGCAAAGATGGGGTGTGCCAAGGATTTTTGGGAAAATTGAGTGCCGGGACACAGACAGAACTGAGATCCCCGGTGTTGGTCCGACTTTAGTGAGAAGGGGTCCGTCACTGCACGGGTTGAGGAAAGAAAAAGCCGCGCACGGGACGCGCGGTGATGGGAAATTTACGCCAGAAAGTATCGCCGTACTTACCAGCGAGCCGTTTGCCTACGTTTCGAATGAAAGGGGAGGGTACACACGTAGTATCCCGTTTTCTGATGAGGTCCCGTCGGCGTTCACTACACAACTCCGAATCCGACGTGGACGGCCTCAATCGAGTGGCTCTCTCCTTGTGTTCGTCCTTGCCACGTGTGTGGTAATGGAAGCCCTTGGCTCGGTAACGCTCAGTGCGGCCACAGTCGCTGCACAGCAGGGTTGTCGAGCCCCGGCGGGGGTCCGGGAGTGGGCACCCCCA